AACAGATTTATAAGCCATCCCATTTAGAGTATACCCGCTAAACAAAGCAACCCAAGCGACTACATCTACCCCGAGCACTTTGCTGAAGATGTTAACAGCTTCATCAGGTGACAAGCACTTCACGTGCAAATCGATTGGAGCAATTGAAACTGAGATTTCTAAGTCAAAAGCTCTCTTAGTTACAAGTTCATGAATCCTCCCCGCACACACTTGCAGTGCATTAACGACTATAACTGCGTTATGATAACATCCCTTGTTGATCATTTCCTTGAAAAGCTTCGATGCATCAACAACGGCTCCGTTATGAGATTAGCAACTAATCATTGAGCTCCATGTTACAACATCTTTCCCTTCTATCGTCCCAAAGAAAATTTTCTGCTACTTTTACACTATCTTTGCACACAAATTCAACAATGCGTCAACCAAAGATAGTTCACTTTCAAACTCTCCGAGAAATAAAACCATGTACGGTCCTGCGAAGCTTAAGATTCATCAACTAGCACAGGCTGAAATTAAATTAACGAGTAACTAGTGTCATGCGATCCGAACCACATTTCAAGTAAAACTCAATTAAAGCAGAAACCAAAAACAAATCCAATCTAAGCTTTTCATGTTTCCACAAATAACCATGTGATCTTCCCTTGTTTAAGCACTTGAACCTCTGCACCAGCCTTTATAGCCATAGTATAATTATCAGGCATATCTTCCTCCCCCCTTTTTTTTATATCAGATTCCATGTTTTTGAATAATACCCAAGCTTTTTCTCATTGTATATGTTTAGAATAAGCTCTAAGAATTGAGTTCCACAGATAAACAGTTATCTGAGGCATTTCGTCGAATAGTTTTTGAGCATCATCAATGGAATTAAAGTTTGAGCAGAAAACCCAGTTTTGAGAATCTGCGAATGTAATTTTGCAGTTGATTCTCCATTGTTATATGCTTTGCATAAATCGATCAAAAGCTCTCTCCCTTTCATGTACAAAAGGATGGAATCCTAATTTACTGAAAAAGAATATTACAAGCTTTTAACCTTTTGGGGTGGCTGATCATCTGAGCTTTTGATTATGGTCAATTGGCCATGGGCTTCGAGTTATTTTGAACCATAGCACACATGAACTGATAACCTATTTAAGTTCAACTAGAAGAAAGCTCAAATCTGATTCGATCATTCTCAAGCCACACACAAGTAACTTAAGTTATCAATCAAGCCAAGTGTATGGCGAGTTTCAAATCAAGCTTGAGCTTCTCACTTTTCAAGCTCGACTCTGTTCCACCTAAGGGATGATCATGACTTGGTTTTGCACTCCTTTTACACGGAGAGTAGGCCTGTAAAGTTTTGGTTATTCTACTTTGAAAGATAGTTCATGATTTCCATTTCCACAAGCCTCCGGGAGGGAACCAAACAAAGCATTAGGTATTATAACAAAACAAAGACCAACATAAGCTATCTTGGGATAAATGCTATTACCCTAACCATATCTGGCATCAATGCATAAACCACAAAAGATTAATGCCAGAAAAGTACAAGTAGTTTTTGACATGGTGCAAAGTTTAAATTGAATAGGCAGGAGCAAAGTTTTTGACAGGGTGAGCAGGCAAAAGGCAGTCTAAAGAACAAGCCCAGATCGAGAAATTGTTACAACAAATAAGATACAATACAACAACAACAAATTGAGAAATTGTGTGTATATCTGCCCCTGGTCTCAATGATTGCTAGCTTACATTTTTTTTCTAACATTAACACCATGGGGAAATAAAAGAGAGTGGTGACAAGCTCATGTCAAATCTAGAAAGGGGCAAATTAATCCACCAAGTGCAAATGTGTCTTGAACTGGGGGTAAAAAACAGACTAGACGCCTAGTTCATATTCCATACACAAATTTGAAATTCTATTTCACCTATACGATTCATAGGGTTGTCCACACTGCATGCCTTCATATCAGCATTCAGCACTAAGTTATAAAGTTCAGGCTGAAAAAGATGGCAGGATAAATAGTCATAATCTGGTCATAGAAGTGTACTGAAATTCAAGAGGTATCTTGAAGAAAGCAAGTTACAGGTCAAATCTTGTATTATCCACAAATGAACAACTTCAAGTGCATAGCATGATCTTTCAAATGGATGTATAGTTTCATGTCCAAAACAATTGGAAGAAGGCAGATATCACAGATGCCACAAAATGCTTCAAGATCATATGGTTCACATTCATCCAGCATGCAAGGAAAATAAAGCATTTTGACAGGTTATGCAGTCATGAAAAATATGAGAAACAAAACAGAATTCTCCTTAAAATTTCTGAAAGTCTAGAGTAAAATTAAGTTTCAATCTTGGGACTTACCATTCTCACAGTAATACACGTGTTTTACTAAGTTCAAACGAGACAGAATTTGTTTCATTAACTTTCAAAACTGCTTCCTCTTGTTTCTAAAGAGTTTGTCTCTTTTTGCGTAAACATAAGAGAGGGCAAGGAAACCAACTGCGGAAAATGATAATGCAGCCCACGGGAATGGTGGGTCCTTGAAACAAACAAGTGAAGCCTCAATTTCTTTTGATGCAGTGTAAACAAGATCATGAATAGCATAGAGATCATAATCCGAGGACTTCAAGTAATAGAATGCCATCTCAAAGTCAAAATGTGACAAAGCCGAAACTGTTTTGTCCAGCTTATACCTGAACAAGTTCCATCTCTGTATGAACTCAACATGCTGCTTCTGTTTAAGAAGATTTCTATCCCCACCATGTGCATCAATAGATTCGAGAACATCAATAGCACTAGTTAAACTGTAATTCAACAACGTCAAGATAAAGTTTCTCCGAGCTGCATCCTTCTGCACAAAAGACAATGATGAAACCTCTGAAAATGGTCCAAAAGGTGTTTGACCAACACTCCATGTGTAATCCACCAGAGTACTGTTATGTGTAGGGCTCCATATCAAATGAGTCGGCGACACTCCCCACATACTCTGTAGAATCGAACCAACAAGTGGCCTCTGCAGCTCCCTTGTACGAGTAAAAACATGACGACCATTACAACTGTAGTCACTCACCGTTTGAGCAGTTTTTGTCCTAACAGCGATAACCATATCTCTAAATGCAATAGTCTGATGATATCGATCAAGCAACAAAGTTGTATGATAATCCAAGTCAAACACATAAACAGGAAGTACCCTACTACTAAATTCCTCCTCGGGCAAGCCTGCAACCCTCCTAAACTCCTCTGCCGAATCAGACAATATCTGATGCAATCGTTTCGAATCCAAATACTCGCTCACAATCAAAGTATAGTTATCGAATAGAAACCTTGAAGTAAAAGAGTTGGTCGACCTAGACACCGCAAAAGAACAAATCGAACACTCCTCATACTTAACGCTATACTTTTTGAACTGTAAACTCTGGTTGCCGAACAACAACTCACCATCATTTGCCTCATCACGAAACGATTTTTCAATCACATTCCACTCCAAACCACTTAAATCCTCACTTCCAGATGGGTGAATATGGATAAGCTGAACAATTAAAGTATTCTCAAAATGAACAGGAATTCTTAGAGGAGGAACAACAAGTACCTGATAAGCACTGTATATCAAAGAAGCCAACTCCGATAGCAAGGCTTTATCGGATTTGGGTCTTCCATGTAAAGCTGCTAAAGGGTGAAACTCACCTCTAGGTAGTACCCCATCACCAGATAAAGCCGGCCCGTAGTCAACCGGACCTGCCCCGAGATCAATCCAAAGATACCTTTTACTGCCGGTCCAAAGAGAGCCCAAGCAATTAGTGTAGCCTGCCGAAGAATCGGCATGATAGTAAGAGTATGCATAAGGTTGCTTGGAGGTGACACCCAGATTGAGGATATAGATGTAAACGGAATTACTAGTTTTCTCGGATTCGAAATGGCGGGAAATGATGGAGTCGACGGTGACATACGAGATGGAAAGGAGAGGGGTACGAAGGGAGGAAGGAGAGGAGGAAAGGGCGGAGGAAATAGCGGCGGAAAGGGAAGATGAAAGAGAGGAGGAAGACACAGAGACGTCAAGATGGAGGGAGTGGCTGATGGAAAGCGAGTGAGGGGAAGGAGAAGAAGAGATGAGGTGGAAGTGGGAGGAAGTAACGGAGGATTGGAGGAAGGTAGTGAGGAGGGAACTGGAGGAGGAAGAGAAATTGGGGCCAACGAGGCGGATATGGAGAGGGATAGGGACGGAAAGGGAAAGGAGAGAGGAGATCAAGGAAGGGATGTGGAGAGGGCCAGGGGAGGAAGAAGAAAGGGATTTTTTGAGGGAAGAAGGGAGGGATTGGAAAGGGTCATTTGTGGATTTGGGGTCGATGCGGGATTGTTGGGTTAAAAAGGAGTCGAGTCCGGGGATAGGGGCGGCGGAGCTGAGGAGGATTGTGGTGGCGGAGCTGAGGAGGAAGAGGAAGAAGACGGTGGTGGTGGGCATTTTCAAAGCTTGGTTGGAGTACTTAAACTGGGAAGACTGCCTAATATGTATATCGTCCGCTACACTGCTTTGGATTTCCAGTTTTGATCTATTGACCTGACCATGTACTTAACATTTTCGTGTTTGCTAACAGGTTTTTATGTTTAAGGGTTAAATAATTGTTTAGTCACCCATTTATTTTTATTGTTCTGTTTTGGTCACCCTATCTATTTGTTTTTAAAATCATACCTAACTTTCATTTTGATTTTTTTTATCGCTTGCAGTTAAAAAATAATTAACGTGTCACCATAAGGTAGTTAGATGTGTGGGTTGTTATTTGGGATTTGGGGATTCAATATAGAGTTTGAGGTATAATTTGGAAGTTTTAATTTGTTTATTTTTATTTTAATCCTAGGTAACAAAAATAATAATTACTTAATGCAATAAGAGTGATCAAAACAAGAATAATTCAAAAGTTTAGTAATCAAATTAAAAAATTTGAACTTTAAATAACCAAAATAGGAACAAAAAGATAGTTTAGTGATTAACTGTGTAATTTGCCCATTTTCTTTTTAGCTTCATATGTATATCTTAATATTACAAATTTGCAGTCTCCTTACATGAAACAATACGAAAAGAGCAGAGATACAAGTTTATCATTCATCAGATCCATCCGAATCACTAAATGTTTGTGTACCCCAGAATTTCGAGACATCCACAACTTCGTCATCACATTCTGACACAGCCGGACGAGTTGCTCCAGAGAAATCGCGGAAACTGACAAGTCCCTGACTGTCACCGTAACTGGTGGTAACGATTCTGCATGCATTCACGGCCATGACTGAACATCCGATCTTGGCACTTCCGAGCTCTGGACGGTTACAGAGAAAAGATTTTGTTCGTTTGCCAGTGTCAATCTCCCAAGCATGAACAGAGTTATCCCCCAGCCCCCCAGTAACTATTTTATATGGATCCATATGCAGTAGTGTCACCGAACCCATATGACCATCTAATTCGGTAACCGGTTTGAGTTCTGATGCCTCCTGGCTTCTCCTAATATCCCAAAGCATTGCTCTGTGAATTCAATGCAGAAATTTGGATATTAGTTTCAAAAACGGAGGTTAAACAATCTTAAGTTTGTATCAAAACTGACTTTCAACAAATGGAAAATGAAAACCAAGAAAATACCAACTTAACATGATTAGAAGTTAAAACTATCGTTAACAAGTTTTCTCGATGGCAAATGAGGAAACATGGTATGGAAGCCCATATATCCTCGAAAAACAAATCATTATTTAAAACATAACACTTTTTAAGTATTACATCTAAAAAAGAAAACAATTCCTTTAACAACAAACTGTGGATAATTTCTATTGGTAATAAATAAGATCATTTAAGCTGTCGTCATTAAGTAACTGTAATTCTAACAAAAAACCTAACTCCGCATTCATACATTGCCTTTTTATACATTTCATCAGGATAGTACAACATGATTTGTGGGGGCCGACAAATCCATCTGCTTTTCTTTCTAAAAAGGACCTCACAAATGCAAACAAGGAAAAAGTTTTTCCTAAAATGTCAGCTATGCATTATCTTGAGGATATGTAAAGATCGTCTTGTTCAAGCTTTTGTTGATTACCAAACAACAGTACCATGATAAAGGGAAAATTAAAGCCATGGATTCATAATCACAGAAAAGCTCTTACTTGCCAAGTCCGCCGGTGCATATTAAAGATTTGGAAGGCATAATGGCGAAGGAGTATAGTTTTGGTTTATATACTGCCACAGTGTAAACCTTTTGCATTGTCCTTAAATCAACCACCACCACAGACGAACCAGAAGCAACATAAAGCAAGGCTTCATCGCATTTCATGGCCACAGGAGCACCAGGCACGGAAGTCATTCCCACACAACAAGAAGAACGAATAGCTGATGATGTAGTCGTATCCCAAACTCTCACCTGTGAACCCAATATGGTCAAATAGTATTCAACTGTTGAGAAATCTGAGTATAAAAATGAAAAAAAAATAGATGATGTTAAGAAGCAAAAGTTCAAGAACAAAGGCGAACATGATACCTTGGAATCCTTTGACATGGTTACCAAAAGAGAAGGTTTGTACCTGAAAAATGATGGGGTGTCAACTATTGATTATAACTAAAGAACATATAATCAAATGTACAGAATATAAAACTCAAACTTTGTAATGTTTGTTTTAAGTTTGAACAAAGAAAGGGAGAAAACTCTTCTTGAAGAAACAGATTCTTACCCAGCAACTGACATCAATGAAACAGGTTTCTGATGCCCATATAGTGTAGCCTTTAAAGCTTGTTGGCCACGTTTTCCGCTAGAGCGAAGGGACCAGAGACGAACAGTGCCATCTTCCCCACCACTTGCCAATACTTTGACACCACCATCACCTAATAATTTATCAGATATGATGGAAACAGGACCATTATGACCTCTAAAGCACCGTTGACAAGCACCCTACAAGAAAAGCATGAACCAAGACATTCAACCAGAACAGAGCCAAGAAAAATAGGCTTACATCCTATCCATAACAGGAGCACAAAAAATTATAATAATGAACAACAAACAGAAACTGCATGTATGCCCTCCTACTCGAAGCAGTGCAACGAATAAATCAAGGTTAGTTATATAGCTCTGTTGAAAAGGAAAAAGAAAGGGAATGTTTGGAATAATACCTTCCACCACAGACGAATTGAGTGGTCACAACTTGAGGTTACTAAAACATTTTCATCTCGTTGCATCTCATTTCGAACTAAAGAAGTTTCATCAAGTGGAAACAATCTGCAGAACAATCATACAAGGAATATTGAAAAGAACTCAAGCTTTTGCATATTGGCATACCCGGTTCCGGTTCCTAGGGACCAAGTACATCAAAACCGGGTGAGCCAATATGCCTCCCACTTCGAAATAAAGAAGTTCCATTTAGCAGAAGCCATCTGCAGAGTAATATTAAAAAGAACTCTAGCTTTTGCATATAGGCATACCCAATTTTGATGCCTAGTGTCCATACTCCTTATGTAAAATATCACAAGTAAATCAACAGACTACCACCAAGAAAACCATATCCCCTATTGTAAATGCAATGCCACTTATTCTATAAGAATATCCACAAAATATTTCTCACCTCATGCATGTAATTCTTGCATTGTGATCACTCATTCTAACATGCGAACCTCCACTCAAAGAGCTTCCGGTTTTCATCATTCTTATGATCGAACCCTAGGCAAACAAACTTAAAGTAAGCTTTGAAATGGTGCTCAAATGTAAAGCATCATGAGTTAAAAACAAGATAAAGAAACTAAATGGACATACTTGAGAAAAGATTATATCATTCTTATCAAGAAGTATATGATCAAAAGGCCTTGCTTCAGTATACAAATCTAGAACTAAAGGATCGGAAAATTTGAACTGATGCAACGCCGTATGCCAATCCAAATAGGCCTTCCTCACTCCTGAAGAAGAGCTAGATAGCATTTCTAGCGGCCAACGCAGCCTAATACAATCAAATACAAAATAATGAACAAATAAATAAAAATCACTGAATATTTTTTTTGTAAAATTCAACCTACTTTTCAATCGTATTTTACAAAGAAACGAAATTCGAGCATGCAAACAATTGCCTTAAAATAAAATCTCTATTTTTAAATTCGAATCCTAAAAAGGAATAACTGTATCTTCTTCTTCTTCCTATTGGAATTATATAAACAGTTTCGAGAAAAGGAACCTGAAACGGTGGAGCCAAATGGAGTCGGAATAAGCGATTTTTTTGAGAAATTTGGAGGTCATGGCGAGATTTGAAAGGTCCTGAAGGCTAAGATAGGTTGCGCAATGAGCCAACGAATCTTCGTCCAAATCAGTGATCTTTGTCATCGTCGTCGCCGCCTCTGTTGTTGCTGTGTGCAGCTGTGAAGCTGGTGGCTCCGCTATATTTCCTTCTTTTTCTTCCGAAGTTTGGAAAAGGAAAAAAAAAAATTCCCCTCAACTTCACAGTAATGTTGTGTTCTCTAATGTCAAAATAAAATAAATATATAATTGACACTTATAATTTTTCTAATTTATTTTATTTTATTTATAATATTATATTATATATTTATTTTATTTAAGAATTCTAATATCTTGTTCTACCTAAATCATTTATTATTAATAAATTTGAAGATGATTTTATTATTTTAGTAATTAATTAACATAATGTTATTCCTAAAATTTTGTTGGCCAAATAATTCGGGTGGGAAAAATATATCAAAAAGTACAAGGGTTGAAAATTTATTTTAGGATTTAAGTCGCTTGTTAGCGTACTTAATATTCATTGTGTAAATATGACAAGTTTCATAAAATATAATTAATAATTAAAATTTGTCATGTTCTCACATGACGAGTTTAACACAAATTTTTTGCAGCTTGCATGGCAAGTTCTAATTTATTAATATATTTTATGAAACTGGCATGACGACATTCATGTGTTAAAAAATACATGATTCAAACTATCTAACCCGTTGCTCCTCCTATGCGGTTAAAAATTATCGATATCTATAATGTAAATACTGGAATTTACGGGGTAGGTATCAACCCGCTATTTCTTTTTCAGGTTTTCAATTCAGGCCCGAATCACAAAAATCTTTAACCATATGCCCGACCACCCGCTTCCTTTTTAATTTTATATTTATTTTATATTAAATTTTCATTTTCATTTTCAATTCACAATTTATTTGACAGTAACGTTCTAAATTCTAAATTTCTTAATTTATTACATCATAATATTTCAAATTATTTCTCAAATTAATTTTTAACTTCAAAACATTTAAATTTAGTTTTATTTCTTTAGTTTTGTACTTTATATTTTTAAAGTTAGATTATGTAATTTGAATTTTTAAATTTTTAAGTTTTTATGTGATTTTTAAAAAAATATAATATAATTCAAAGAAAAAATATAAATTAAATATGAATCAAGTACTCTAGATTCGAAAATGCGGGTACTCGAATATTACGAGTACCCAACATGTGAGTATTCAAAGTTAATAAGTTAAGACACGGTCTGACATTTTAATACTTAAAAAATTGGCATAATGCAAACAAATGCCCCTAACGTTTGGCATTATATGATTTTGTGCCCAAATCGTTTTTTTTTTGGAGCAGTTCTACCCACAACGTTTGTTTATGAGGCATAAGTCCCCCCGTTGGATGGAATCCGTCAGTCAACTGACGGTCAAAGGGTTCATCTGACGTGGCATGCACATGTGGCCATCGATGGTGACGTGGTATTTCCATGTCATTATTTTTTTGCTGATGTGGAATTTACACGTCAGATTTTTTAATAAAATATAAATAAAAAAAATGTGAAACAGTATGAAAGTGACACATGTCACTCTCCTATTGGCGCATATTTGATAGAAGGGATGAAAGGCTCACAACACGATGGATTGGGTTCGAACCTGGGGCAAGGGCGTGAAATGGGATGGCCCTTGCCACCAGGCTAGGCATGTTACTCGATAAGTATGTCTAACATTATGCTAATAAACCAAAAATAAATGTCCAGGTTTTAAAAAAAAATATACGAGCGTTTAGCATACATATACGCTTCAAATGGTATTTCACCCCCAAACCCAAGTATCCCCAAATAAAATCAAACCAAAACCCTAATCGCATTTCCCCTTTCAATTTTTACTCCATCAAATCTCCTCTACGAGAACGAATTTCCGAATCTTTTCCCCATTCAATCTCTCCCTCTTAAATGCAGTAGAAGGTGAGTTTAGTTTTTAAAGAATAACATCGATTATTTGGGTTTGTTTCGGCATAATGGGTTTGGTTAAATGTTTTGGTTTATGTCATTGTGTCGAAGCATTTGTAAAATATTTGGGTTTTTCTAACTTGTGGGATGTTAATAACTTGTGGGTTTTGCATGAAATGGTATATATTTGGGTTTGAGGCTTTATTGCTTGGGTTTCTTGTAATGAATCGAATGTGGAAAGCTCAATTTGGATGCATATATCATCGGTGGGGGACTGCATTTTGTAGGGTACTTTAGTGGTGGGGACTGCATGTTTGATTTTTTTATTGGGAAAGTGGTCCCCTATGTTCAACATCAATTATCTATTTTTTACACTATTTGGGTCCAGATAAATGGATACATTCCTTCTATCACAAAGACACATACATTAAAGCATATAAATATTCTTTGCAACCTATTAATGGGCCTCAAGATTAGAAGAAATCTGGAATTGAACAAGTTCTTCCACCGGTTGATAGAGATATGCCTGGAAGGCCTAAGAAAAATCGAAGGAAACAAAAAGATGAACCAAAAAAAGTCAAGCTTGGACATGTTAGCAGGATTGGTCTTATTATGACTTGTAAAAGATGTGGTGGACAAGGTCATAATAAAAGATAATGTACTACAAACCAGGTATTTATAGTTTATGTATTCAAATTGTTTTAAAAGTTTAAGTTAATGTTAGATTTTTATAGTATAATTTTCTGTTGCAGGACCTTAATATCGATGGAAATTCTTCGATAAGACCACCAAGTACAATCGATTCAAACCCAACACACGTATCAAGGAAAGGAAAAGGAAAAGACATGTGTTACTTCTGATAGATCAATGAGGAAAAAATATATGAAGGGATAGGCCTTTATACAAATTTGGGGACCGGAGAGCAGACATTCTATGTAAGAACATTTTAAATAAGTAACAGTATTTTTTCGAAAACCTAAATAATGTTTGAATTTTCTAATATGTTATCAGTCTGGTACAAGAGCACCAAAGAAAAGGAAAGGAACTGAGGACCATTTGGGCACTCAAGAATCAGTAGCACCAAAAAAGAAGAAATGAATTGTCTGATCGAGTGGGTCTTTTGGTTGTAATGCTTTTTGTTAGGGTATATGTTTTTGGGTTGAGCTTCTTTTTGTGTATGGCAAATATCTGCCTAACTTCATATGATATACCTTGCAGCAGTAATATATGTTTTTTTTGTATGGCAAATATATGCCTAACTCAAGAATCAATAACATTTCTTTTCGATTATTTTATGTTTATTCGGTTTAAGCATATTAACTAGCCAATATAATAGAAAACACTAAACACTTAATATTATACATAGTCATTTCTTCTCAATAGGTAACAGTCATACACTTGGTATTACACAGACATAAACACTTAATCTTTAACAAAACACCTAATCTTTAACAAAACACCTAAAGTGCTATTGCAAGTATAATTACCACAAAGATACATATGACACACACCATTGAGCAAATACACATAGTCTTATAAAATTCGTTTTCTTTCTTCATTGTTTTAGATTTTTCCTTCAAGCTCTTAATCTTTGCCTTTAATTCATTGTCATTGTCTTCACTTTGCACACTTCCAATCTCATTAACTTTGCCTTGAACACTTTCACTTTCACTTTCACTCTCTTCCAACAACACACTATTCATTTGAGCAGTGGATGAACAACTTCTAATCTATCTTCTAAGTCTTGTATTCTCTTTCGTTAAATTTCGCTCACTATCACGTAATTGTCGTAGTAAGTAATTAGCTCGATCTGGCATGCTACCATCATAACATTCAAAATACCTACAACCGTGCTACAGTAAGGGGAAAAGGCATATTTGTTATCAATCGATTTTTGCAACAACATTTTATCATTCAAGCTAAATAATACAAGGTAATTCTAAACATATTCTTACCGGAAAATTTGGGCAACCGTAATACCTTCTTCTGGGGTTTAAATCGCTCCATGAAATTTCCCTAGATGCCAATTTATTGCAATAACACTTCTTTGGGACACCGTCGTAAACGAAATCTCGTCGCGAAGCACTAACGATTGTTGGACATGCGAACCTGTCCATTACACAATCTCTAATATAACCCAAATAAAAAACAAACAACGTTAATTATTAAATTAATTCAAGTGATATTCACAAATCAATGTTCATTTCGAACTAAACCAAATAAAAACTTGAATGAAAGATAACTAAATCAAAAACCCATTCAAAATTGAGGAGATTTCATGGAGTCGAATGTGAAAGGGGATTTGCGATTTCATGTAATTTATGATTCCATTCAAACAAATCAACTCACCTTCAAAGTATATACTTAATTGATCGGTTTGAGGCTGCTTCTTGAAGGAAAATTCGTTCTCGTAGAAGAGATTTGATGGAGTAGAAATTGAAAGGGGAAATGCGATTAGGGTTTTGGTTTGATTTGTATTTGGGGATACTTGGGTTTGGGGGGAAATACCGTTTGAAGCGTATATGTATGCTAAACGCGCGTATAATTTTTTTTAAAACCTGAACATTTATTTTTGGTTTATTAGCATAATGTTAGACATACTTATCGAGTAACATGTCTGGTCTGGTGGCAAGGGCCATCCCATTTCACGCCCTTGCCCTAGGTTCGAACCTCATCCACCGTGTTGTGAGCCTTTCATCCATTCTATCAAAGACGCGCCAATGGGAGAGTGACATGTGTCACTTTCCTATTGTTTCACATTTTTTATTTATATTTTATTAAAAAATATGACGTGTAAATTCCACATCAGCAAAAAAATAATGATATGGAAATACCACGTCACCATCGATGGCCACACGTGCATGCCACGTCAGATGGACCCATTGACTGTCAGTTGACTGACGGATTCCATCCAACGGGGGGGACTTATGCCTCATAAACAAACGTTGTGGGTAGAACTGCTCCAAAAAAACGATTTGGGCACAAATACATATAGTGCCAAACGTTAGGGACATTTGTTTGCATTATGCCTAAAAATTATGGGTACCCAAGTATGAACGCCAATGATATGTATACTTGTTTTTTTCTTTTAGAATTTCAAGCGAAAAGATTTGTAATAACAAAGTCTTTCTCCGCATTTTTTAGTACATTTTTATTTTTTTGACTTGTAATTTTTCGGTGGTTGATGGGAGATGATATATGTTTGAGGATTAGATTGATAGAATTTAAAAAATTGAAGGGTT